GACCATATCAGACACATCAATCATGTTGTTAGAAGATTGGCTCTGTTGTTGATGAAGAGATTCTTCAAGTTGTTTCTTTAAATCATCTATTTGCTCTTTCAAAGATAATCTATACTCTTCTTGATTCTTTATAACCTCATTTAATCTTTCAATCTCCATCTCCATGACATCAACACGTTTATTGGCTTTTTCTGCAGTGGCTTGAAGTTGTGCTTTCTCTTCATAATTTTTGTTAATTCCTCCTATTCCAAGACCACGCGCGTATCCCCCTTTTCCTCTTCCCAATACATATCCAAAATGTGTTATGAGTGGCACTGGTGATGAAGAAATTTCTTCTGCATATACCGACCCAATATCTTCAAGAATTCCCTAAATTAAAAACAAACTACTTACTTTTGATCAAATAATTTATTAATAAATTAGTAAAATAATAGTATGCAAACAATTACCAAAGTTTCTTCACCATCAGAATCTGCCCAATCTCCATTTTTTTTCTTTCGAGTAGCCTTCCACAATTCTGCTCCAGAGGGCCAAGATTTGCTTTCTGATTTTTCCTTCTATTTTGAAAAGACAAGAATAAATCAGAAAAATATGTTTAATGTAAATAGTCACCAAGAAATAACATTAATCAAAGTTTAGTTTATAAATTACCATTTCATAAGCTGTTTGTATGATGGATTTTGAACCAGTAACTGATTTCAGCTTCACCTTCATCCTATTAAGTTGATTTGCAGCCCTTATTTTCTGTAATACAAATTTTAATTATTATAAATATAAATAATAGTTACTGTATGCTTCATGAAAATAAAATGGAAGAAAAGAAAATGTCTAAGCACAAACTTGATCGAACAAAGTATAAAATTGACATGATAAAATAGCAAATGTTCTATAGGAGATTGTAAATGCAAAGCAAGTGCTTGTACTTGGCAGATGCTTTAAAAAAAAATTTATACTAAAGTGAATTTAGCAAGTAAAGGAATTTTAAATATAGAAAATCTTACATACCTTAAATTTTTCAGAATTCCATTTATTTGTTATCAGCCAATTCCATTGATCTTCATCCACATCTGTTGGACATGGTTTTTTAAGGAGGTATAATTGGTGTAACCTATGATGTCGAGCAATAAATTGCTGTTGGCATTGCTTCATCACATAAATTTTTACATTGTCTGATAAGTTCAACCGATTCTGAAATAGAGTAAAATAAAAAAAAATAATTAATCAATAGTTATACCATGTGATACATTTATTCAAATATTCTATCATAATAAAAATAGTTTTATTTTTTTTATACAGTAAAAATATAATATATTAAATAAAATACAAAAGATATTTTTACCCATAACACAATTAATTACAGTTTCTGTTAATCCAAATACTCAGATTAATGTTCCCACTATCACCTTTCAATTACGTGACAATAAACGTAAATTAATAGTACCTTCTCTATGCATATCAGGAATCCCAAACAAAATGGCCACCCATTTCATCCCCAAGCCTAAGCCCAGATTACTCGCTACTTTTCCCTTTCAAACAGAAAGCCCGTTCGCGAATCCAATCATAAAAATTAAAAGAATATCCATTAGTCCGGTTTTCAATAAAAGTAGTGTTGTATATTACCTTTAAAAATATCCACATCATCTCTTTGACATTATCATCAACCTCTTTCCAACGAAAAGCAGACGGTGAATGTTGACTAACACAAATCCCAACTTCAGCTTTAAAAAGTGAAGAATCAACGCCACAAACTTTTTTAAATTGCGGTGGAAATTGAATATCAAGGAGTTGTCCTTTGTCCTTCTTTTTTTTTTCAGCGCTAAATTTTTTGTGAATCCACGTCTTCTTTTTCCGACACAGTGAAGGCCTTAAAATAAAAATAATAAATCACACAAGAAAACGCATTAGGTGGCTGGAAGATATGACAGATATGTGGACGTTTTACCATGAATAAAAGTTTAAAAAAATTTATATAAAAAAATAAAAATATATATAATAAAACCTGTGATTTGGGGATTTTGGTTGTTCTCATTACTCTCAAATGTTGATGCTGTTCCATTCAAAACACTATTCATAATCTTATAAAAAATTAAAAAATAAAATATTAGCATCATTTTAGTAATAACAAAGATTATAATAACAAAGTGCATAAAAAAAAGATTATAACAACAAAACAATAATTTATTAGTGATTTCAGAGATTCTCATATATAAAAATTTAACCTAAAAAAGCCTTGACAACAAAATGTATGATGAATCAAAGTTTACTGTAAGTAAAATCGTAATAAGAGATTTGAGAGAAAAAGGTAAAAATTGTTGATGATTAGGCACAATATACAGATTAAAGAAGATGAACCTAGATATAAAGCAACGTTTTCATACCTTATTAAAACTGCTTTAAGCTTGTTGATGACCTTTTAGATTTTATGTAGTTGTTATTAAAACTGTTGGTTTAATATTATATATATTCTTCGACGTTAAGAAGTTTAAACGTGATAGAAATTTTAAATTAAAACAGATAATATATATTAATTAACTTTAAAATTTATTTAAAATTTATAATTATCTGATAAGTAAATGATAAATTAAATATAAATAAAAAATAAATTAAAAATATACTTATTATGCAGTTAAAATTTATTAAATGTAATTATTCTAATATATAAAATTCACATTATCTACTTTTTAAAAATCTAAATATATTTAAATTTTAAACACACTTCTACCGTTAGAATCCACCCCCATTACACAACTGATT